CAGTTGCCCCAAAAGAGGCTTATTTTACATCCCTGTCTAAGAGTCCCTACAATGTAAGAGACACAGACCCTCCACTCTGAGTGGTCCCAAATTCCCAGTGAACCTCATGGCCTAAGAAGGCTGCTGAAACTCCAGATATCAAATACACAGGGGCTGCTCGAAGAAGAGGCTGACATAGCAGGCAGAGGCCAGACCTTGAACTGTGGAAACTGTGCTATATGAGCATAGACATTGTCTTACAGGCAGTGAGAAAGGATTTCAATATTGAGCAGAAGGCAGACATGGTTGGCTCTGTATAAATCCTTTTGGCAGCCTTGTGGATGGCTTGGAGAAGCTCAGGATGGAAGACAGTGGGCTAATGCAGGATCTGGGTGAGAGAAAAGCAGATGGATGAGACAGGAGGTGGGTAGCAAGGCAGAGAGCACAACCTGCACTTTCTGAGATGGCCAATAAAAAAGAAAGGAAGAAAGAGATGATATAGGCCAACAGGATTGACTTCCTTCCAGCTCAAACAAATGGGTATGAGAACATGAGCAGCCTGTTCTGTGGGTTGTCTACAGAAGAAGCAGGTTTCAGGGAAGAAAGGAGGAAGAAGGCTCTGTGCACAGATGATGGATTGTATAAGGTAAATGTTCACAATCAAAAAACAAAATTGCTAAGCATGGTTCAAAAGGATCAGAGAGATCTAGGCTAAGAAAGGGAGACTGATGGGGATAAAATTATTTGGAAATGGGCAATTCTGGGAACTTCCTTTTCTCTGAATGATCAAGAACAATGGTGGGGAATGTGGAGGTGGAGAATTGGTTCCAGGACCTGGTCTCAAATATCCGAACTGATCCAGATCATTTTCTGGTCAGCATTGGCTCACAGGGCCAAGGCAATACCAGACCTGGTCTGAGACGATAAGCTTCCCATGAGCTAAAGAGGGCCATGATTTGTTCCAGAATACCTGGCATTCTAGGCTCCCTTGGAGCTACCTGGCCCTTTGGTAGTTTTACAAATAACATCACTGCCATTACCGAGCCCTGGGTACCCCATGACCCAGCAGTCACTAAGGAGGAGCATGGTGGGTCCCATGGGATTTCTTGATTGGCTCTACAAGGCCTAGAAAAACAGCTTCCTTATTCAACCTGCTGATGTTATAGCTGTTGCAATGGTTACTTTTCATGTACTACATCTTAATTTACAACTTCATAAGTTACATGTAAGATGTAAGAATCCTGAGATGCCTGAGTGGCACAGTGGGTTAAGTGTCTACCTCCAGCTTGGGTCATGATCCCAGGACCCTTGGATCAAGTCCCACCTCAGGGTCCTTGCAGCAAGCCTGCTTCTCCCTCTGCCTGCTGAAACCCTACTTATGTGCTCTCTCTCCATGACAAATAAATAAATAAAATCTTCAAAAAATATTTATAAGAATCCTATCCTTAGCTAACCTTAGGTATTTGCATTACTCACCAGTCACTTGTTTATGTTTTTTTTTTTTAATGTTATCTAGAAATGTGTTAACACCAGTGAGTACCAGTATATTTTGGGAAAAGCTTTTCTTTGTTATGTCCTCACAGGGGGTCTCCATGTTGGGGTGTTGCAGGGGAACTCAGAGCCCATCCCTACTCAGGCAAATTCTCACACTCCCCTCCCTTACTACAGACAATAGAATATGGACCATGTTGCCAAACTTCAGAGATACAGAAAGACAGATAATAGATAGAAATCCAGAGACAAAAATAGTCATGAATACAGGGAGAGAGAGAGAGAGAGAGAGAGATTATGTAATTTACAGTCTACTGGGGAGGAGAGATCAGAGAAAGATAGCAATCACTCATTGTAGCAAGAGCTAGAAGGAAATGGTTCTGAGGCCGAGAATGAGCACAGAATAGAGAGGGATTCACTTTACATAGAGAAGTCAAAAACTCTCCAAGAGCTGCCTCTGGCGATAGGTGAGGAATGTATAGGAGTCCTAGAGCAGACAGGTGAACTACTGGAGATGCCAAAGGCAACAAGGAACACAAGGTAGCAGCAAAGACAAGTGGCAAGAGAGAGAAGTGGAGAGTCAACCACCCTCTGAATTTCTCAACATTTTCTCTACATAATAAAATTGGTAAAATTGGCTAAGATCACCTCTGAATTTCTCAACATTTTCTCTACATAATAAAATTGGTAAAATTGAATTTAAATTATGTAAATAACTAAACTTTATATTTTCCTTGTGTTAAAATAATTTCATAAAAGATTTGTAATTTACTTGAAAATCAATTCTATGATGTCATTTCCTAAACAGCCTCCAAATGCCTTCATCATAAAAGGTCCACATGAAGTAAAAGACTTGCATCAACTCAACTTGCAAAACTCCAGTTAATTGTGAGTCAAAGGGAAAACTGTTTTGCACACAAAATTAAAGGAAACATTTATAGCACTGATAGTCACTTTAATGTACTTTTTTATTTACAAAAGCCTCCATTGCAAAGTTGAATTTTGGAAAGTTCGATGATCATGTCATGCACAGTAAAATTTGTGTACAGTAGAGATTAAATGCAGGGTTTTTTATTATTCTATTATTGATTGACTCAATATGAAGTAACTGTTCAGGTTCAGTTGTCTTACTCTGAAAACGCCCATGAGGGAGTAAGTGATCCTGTGTCTACTCAACACAAGCAACTAAAAACTGCAAATAGTAATGTCAATTTGCTTTGAAATGTGATTAACTGACCTTATCATGCCTACAGCTTATTTCTGAAGTCTAAAAATATGAAGTTCAAAAAACTTCACAAGAATGTAATGAATGCACTGAAGTTTTCCAATATGTTGACAAAATACTCTCCTAACAAATATCTTGTCCACTGTCTTAGAGGACTAAATTTCCTCTTCTTTTGAATGCCCTTGGAAATTTTTCACTAAAAGAACAGCATGGAAGAAAGAACTTGGGGAAGGGGAGAAATGGAAGAAGAGAACCTTACAAAGTGTTCTTAGCAGGTTAAAGAATTTTTGCCTGGTAGAACAGATTTGACAATTTTAATATCAACCTTCTGTGTTACTGTCCTTACATCATTTTTTTTCTACTTTAAGGGAAGATGGCTGATGGGTCCTAAGCCTAAACTTGTGAAGAACTGATTAGCTCACCAACAAGCTCCCAGTGTATGATGTCTGTAAAAACACCTGGATATGCCCATCAGTGTCCTCCCCACTGGTGGAGATCTGCCCTCTAAGACGTGCCAGCAGGGCATCTGACCAGGACACTTAATACATGGTTTATAACAGACCAACCAGCACAAGACAGGTGGGGCCGGTGGCTTTTCTTACTTACTACTGACAGCCACTCTTCTGGCTCCTTGTCTTTTAAAATGAGTCCTACAACAATATCTATAAATGAAATATTTGCTACAATACTGTCATCGAACAAAAGTCATGAGGGTTTCACAGGTGAGTACAATTAGAATATGTCTAGTCCTACCCATTTGTTCTCTGCAATCTAATTAGAAGTGTCACAGCTGCTAGACAACAGGATATATAGGAATGCTATGTAACCAAAGAACTGTAGCAAACTCATAATCACTATCATTTCACATTGTTTTACCATTCTTAGAGAATTTGCTTTAGGATAACACAGTCCATGCCTTCACCAGGCATCCTTGACTCTGGTTTCAAACAGCTTCCCAAACCTTTATTTGACAAACAAATAAAACAAGGAGATAAAATCAGAGACCTCAATACTGGAATTCATTTTGGATTGTTACTCATGACTGGCAGAATTTTTCTGCTTTCAGCCTAACAATGACAGTATGTATACTATGAAATAATTTGTTTTCTTATTTATTTATTTAAGAGAGAGCACCTGTGGGGGCACAGGCAGAGGGAGAAGGACAAGCAGACTCCCCACTGAGACAGAAGTGGATGCAGGCCTGAATCCCAAGACCCTGAGACCATCACAACCTGAAACCCCCAACTGACTCAGCCACCCAGGCACCCCTGAAATAATTTGTTTTCAAAGACATTTTCCCCACTGATGTAAAACAAGTAGGTAAATACACCGGAGAATACTGTAGGTTTTGTGCTCCTGGCTGAGCTAACACATTTTATTGCTATCTTAATTCAAAGAGGGTGTCCCATCTGTGGTTAAGAAGACCAGAAACTCCTCCTACATTAAAAAACACAGAGCCAGCCTTTCAAATAAGTTAAAGACTAATTTTACTGGGATATTCTTCAGAAAAGCAAGGTTGGATTGTACCCCACAGACAAGTGGCAGTTGTCAACCAGTCTCTTTGGGAGGCTGCCTTTTTAACTAGCTTAACATTACTGATGGCTTTTCCCAGCTTCTACCCACAGCCTCTACTTCCACCTCCAAGAATGAAGGAAAGGGAGGAGAAGGACTATTCCAAGTTACCTTTGCTCCCAGTAACATCACTCAAATCTTGAGGGTTATCTTGTTCCAGGCTACCTCCAGGCATCATAGCAAAAACATAACCAAAAACATAGCTCAGCGTTAAAAGGTAAGCTCTTCAGCCTCCTACACCCTGCAAAACAATGTCGGGATAACACACCTGCTAATTCTTGAAGCTCCTCCAAGCTTCCCCAGATCTACCTGAAGATCTGAAGCCTCTCGTGGTGCGACGCTCACCATCCAAAATACCCCTCACGCAGCGTGCACAACATATTTTCAGACGACCTTGATTCACAGTGCAGTCCATCGAAGGGGCTGCGAACCCAAAAGACAGCAACAAAATCAAAACTCCGACTCATCAATTAGAGCAGAATCCGCAAGTACCCTGACAGGGACTCTCCAAGCGGGACAGTGCGCCCAGACCCAGGAGCCAATAGGTGGCTGGCCCAGGCGTTGCCATGGCCACGTTGTGTGTTAGGGCCGCGCACGCACCCCGCGTGCGCTCCCGGAAGCCAATCGGCAGCCGGCCTAGGCGTTGCCATGGCCACTCTGCGAGTTTAGTGCCGCGCGAGCGCGCGCGCGCGCTCGGAGTTGGGGAGAGTCCGCCCAGCTACCCCGGCCCAGGGCAAGCAAGGGTCGCGTTAGCCGCGCGCCCCTAGACATCCGCCGCTGCCCAATTCCCTACCGCCGGCATGAACCGCAAGAAGCTGCAGAAGTTGACGGACACCTTAATTAAAAATTGCAAGCACTGTAAGTAAGAATCAAGTGCTGGATGAGAAGTTTCTGGAAGGGCTTGGTTCTACCTGGTAAAAGTGCCCGCTGCTCAGCCTGCTCCCCACCTCCAGTCTGAATGCTCCTGGAGCCCCCTTAATGTACGCTAAAGAGAAGTCTGGAAGGGAATCTCTGGATGGTAGGTAGTGCCTTGGCCAGGTACCCATGCTTGCCCATGATCTTAAGGACCAGTATATAGGTATCCAGGCATCTAGTACTACACTCCCACACATGCACTAACTTGCTTCTCAAACCCTCTTCTTAACTTACCTTTCCATTATAGAAACATTATTTTTATACTGACACAACATGTGTGGTTTTAGCCTCAGACATAGGTGTTAAATATGTATGAAACCCACTGGACTCAAGAAAACTAGCACAACAAACATACGCCTGCTTTCTAGCTCTTTTTAGTGCAAATACACTGGCAGGGTCCAAGTTCTGAAAACTTACCAGGAGATCCATAAGGGAAAAATGGCTATCAATAGCTGAAAAGAGTTGAAATGGCACAAAACCCTCTACCTCAGAAAAAGGAAATGTGTCTGGAGACCAAAGAGTTCCACAAAGCTAAACACACAGTAAAGAATTTACTCCCAACTCCAGACTTGGGCTTTGCTGTTGCTGGTGGGGTTTAAAGGTAAAGGAGACCTTGCAGGTGACAAAATGAGCACTTATTAAAGATATCTGTTCCAATCACACATTCTAAAACATGGCCTTAGAATTTCTAAGAAGTTTCAGATGTTTATACACACCGTAACTTTTAAAGACAGTGCCACTTCACTAAGGGAGAACATCTCACCACTTACTACATTAGATACTAAATACAACTAGAAGGCACTAGATCCTATAAGCTCTAGAATGATGATAAACCCGTTCTTCCTTTGCACAATGGAGTCGATATTGGGATTATGGATTTTCATGTGGCCATTAGTTTTGCAATCAGCAACAAAATTTACAAGTTTGCTCATTAGACAGTATCTTTCTCACTAACCTTATCTTGGGTTCCTTGACCAAGTACAATTCTGTGTTTCTGTCTAAATATAATTCTAAAGTTACCTATGAAATTCTAAGAGCACGTTTTAGAATGTTCTAAACCCTCCTGCCAGGTTTTCATTTACCTTTTAATACATTGACCTTTTGACTATTCACAAAATGACTGTGTTTTTCTCAAAATAATTCCATTTCAAGGAAAAGACTAGATCTTCTTAAAACATCTAGTGAACATTTTACATAAGCAATGCAATATCTGTTATACACAATGCTGAATTTGTTTTAGTCTCTGTTCAGTAAGTATGCAATGTACTGCAAACAGTCATTCTCTGAGCCTGGGTGGCTCAGTAGGTTAAGTGTCTGCCTTTGGCTCAGGTTGGGAGAGACCCGCATTGGGCTCCTTGCTCAGCAGGGAGCCTGCTTCTCCCTCTCCCTGCTGCTCCCTCTGTTTGGTGTGCTTCCTCGTTCTCTCTCTTTCTCTGACAAATAAATAAATAAAAATTGAAAAAAAGAAAACCTGGCAGGAAAATAGTCAACTCTTTTGATTTTTGTCCTTATGTCAAATTTTTAAAGTGGACCTTAAAAACCTTGATAATTACTAGTTAAATTCTATAGAAATAGTTACAAATAACGGGCATTATAATTAAAAACATTTTAAACAGAGAAACTTTCCAATACTATGTTGAACAAGAGTGGTGAGACTGGGCATCCTTGTCGTGTCCCTGATCTCAAAGGGAAGGCTGTCAGCTTTTTCCCATTGAGGATGATATTCGCTGTGGGTTTTTCATAGATAGATTTTATGAAGTTGAGGAATGTTCCCTCTATCCCTATACTTTGAAGCATTTTAATCAGGAACGGATGCTGGATTTTGTCAAATGTTTTTTCTGCATCAATTGAGAGGACCATGTGGTTCTTCTCTCTTCTTTTATTGATTTCTTCTATCACATTGATTGATTTGCAAATGTTGAACCAACCTTGCATCCCAGGGATGAATCCCACCTGGTCATGGTGGATAATCTTTTAATGTTTTGTTGGATCCTATTAGCTAGGGTCTTGTTGAGAATCTTGGCATCTATATCCATCAGGGATATTGGTCTGAAGTTCAACCTTTTTGGTGGGGTCTTTGCCTAGTTTGGGGATCAGGGTAATGCTGGCTTCATAAAAAGAGTCTGGAAGTTTTCCTTCTGCTTCAAATTTTTGAAACAGCTTCAGGAGAATAAGTATTATTTCTTCTTTGAAAGTTTGGTAGAATTCCCCAGGGAATCTGTCAGGTCCTGGGCTCTTGTTTTTTTGGGAGGTTTTTGATCACTGCTCCAATCTTGTTACTAGATATTAGTCTATTCAGGTTGTCAATTTCTTCCTGATTTAGTTTTGGAAGTTTATAGTTTTCCAGGAATGCATCCATTTCATCTAGGTTGCTTAATTTGATAATAATTTCTGATGATTGTTTCTATTTCCTTGGTGTTAGCTGTGATCTCTCCCCTTTCATTCATAATTTTATTAATTTGGGCCTTCTTTCTTTTCTTTTGGATTAGTTTGGCCAATGGTTTATAGATCCTAATTGATTCTTTGAAAAAACCAGCTTCTAGTTTCACTGATGCATTCTACTGTATCTCTAGTTTCTATCTCATTGATCTCTACTCTAATCTTGATTATTTCCCTTCTTGTGTGTGGGGTTGGCTTAATTTGTTGTTGATTCTCCAGATCTTTAAGGTGTAAAGACAGCTGGTGTACTCTGGATTTTTCAGTTTTTTTGAGGGAGGCTTGGATGACTGTGTATTTCCCCCTTAGGACTGACTTTGCTGTATCCCATAGGTTTTGGACCAAAGTATCTTAATTCTCATTGGTTTCCATGAATTGTTTAAGTACTTCTTTGATTTTGTGGTTGATCCAAGCATTCTTAAGCAAAGTGGTCTTTAGCTTCCAGGTGTTTGAATTCCTTCCAAACTTTTTCTTGTGGTTGAGCTCCAGTTTCAAAGCATTGTGATCTGAGAATATGCAGGGAATAATCTCATTTTTTTGATACTGGTTGAGCCCTGATTTGTGACCCAGTATGTAGTCTATTCTGGAGAAGGTTCCATGTGCACTCCAGAAGAATGAGTATTCTGTTGTTTTAGGGTGGAATCTTCTGTATATATCTATGAGGTCCATCCAGTCCAATGTGTCATTCAATGCTCTTGTTTGTTTATTGATTTTCTGCTTGGATGATCTGTCTATTACTGAAAGTGGCATGTTAGGATCTCCTACTATTAATGTTTGCATATCAATATGACTCTTTATCTTGATTAACAGTTTTCTTATGTAATTGGCTGCTCCCATATTGGGGGCATAAATATTTACAATTGTTAGATCTTCTTGGTGGATAAAGCCTTTAAGAATTATGTAGTGTCCTTCTGTACCTCTGACTACAGTCTGTAGCTTAAAATCTAACTTATCTGATATGAAAATCACTACCCCAGCCTTCATAGTATTAGAAGTCCTAGCAACAGCAATCAGACAACAAAGAGAAATAAAAGGTATTCAAATTGGCAATAAAGAAGTCAAACTCTCTCTCTTCGCGGATGACATGATACTTTATATGGAAAACCCAAAAAGACTTCACTCCCAAACTACTAGAACTCATTCAGCAATTCAGTAATGTGGCAGGATACAAAATCAATGTACAGAAATTAGTTGCTTTCTTATACACTAACAATGAAAATACAGAAAGGGAAATTAGAGAATCAATTCCATTTACTATAGCATCAAGAACTATAAGATACCTGGGAATAAACCTAACCAAGAGGTAAAGGATCTGCACTTGAGGAACTACAGAACACTCATGAAAGAAATTGAAGAAGACACAAAAAGATGGAAGACCATTCCATGCTCATGGATCAGAAGAATAAACATTGTTAAAATGTCTATACTACCTAGAGCAATCTATACTTTTAAAGCCACTCTGATCAAAATTCCACCAGCAGTTTTCAAAGAGCTGGAGCGAACAATCCTAAAATTTGTATGAAACCAGAAGAGAACCCGAATTGCTAAGGAAGTGTTGAAAAAGAAAAGCAAAACTGGGGACATCATGTTTTCTGATTTCAAGCTTTGACACCAAGACAGCATGATACTGGCATAAAAACAGACACATAGACCAGTGGAACAGAGTAGAGAGCCCAGATATGGACCCTCAACAATATGGTCAAATAATATTCGACAAAGCAGGAAAAAAGATACAGCAGAAAAAAGACAGTCTCTTCAATAAATGGTACTGGGAAAATTGGACAGCTATGTGTAGAAGAATGAAATTCGACCATTCTCTTACACCATACACAAGGATAAACTTGAAATGGATAAAAGACCTCAATGTGAGGGAGGAATCCATCAGAATCTTAGAGGAGAACGTAGGCAGTAACCTCTTCGACATTGGCCAAAGCAACTTCTTTCAAGACACGTCTCCAAAGGCAAAGGAAGCAAAAGTGAAAATGAATTTTTGGGACTTCATAAAGATCAAAAGCTCCTGCACAGCAAAGGAAACAGTCAACAAAACAGAGAGGCAATGGGAGAAGATATTCACAAATGACATTACAGACAAAGGGCTGATATCCAAGATCTATAAAGAACTCCTCACACTCAACACACACAAAACAGATAATCATGTCAAAAAATGGGCAGAAGACATGAACAGACACTTCTCCAATGAAGACATACGAATGGCTAACAGACACATGAAAAAAGGTTCATCATCACTAGCCATCAGGGAGATTCAAATCAATACCACATTGAGATACCAGATACAACCTTACACCAGTTAGAATGGCCAAAATTAACAAGACAGTAAACAACAAGTGTTGGAGAGGATGTGGAGAAAGGGTAACCCTCTTACACTGCTGGTGGGAATGCAAGTTGGTGCAGCCACTTTGAAAAACAGTGTGGAGATTCCTCAAGAAATTTAAAATAGAGCTACGCTATGACCCTGCAATTGCACTACTGGGTATTTACCCCAAAGATATAGATGTAGTGAAAAGAAGGGCCATTTGTACCCCAGTGTTCATAACAACAATGGCCACAGTCGCCAAACTGTGGAAAGAACCAAGATGCCCTTCAGCAGACGAATGGTTAAGGAATATGTGGTCCATATATACAATGGAGTATTATGCCTCCATCAAAAAGGATGAATACCCAACTTTTGTATCAACATGGACGGGACTGGAAGAGATTATGCTGAGTGAAATAAGTCAAACAGAGAGATTCAATTATCATATGGTTTCGCTTATTTGTGGAGCATAAGAAATAACATGGAGGGGGCACCCAGGTGACTCAATGGGTTAAAGCCTCTGCCTTCAGCTTGAGTCATGATCCTAGGGTCCTGGGATCAAGCCCTGCTTTGGGCTCTCTGCTCAGCAGGGAGCCTGCTGCCCCTCCTCTCTCTGCCCGCCTTTCTGCCTACTTGTCATCTCTGTCTGCCAAATAAATAAAGAAAATCTCTAAAAGAAAAAAAAAATAAAAAGAAATAACACCGAGGACATGGGGAGATGGGGAGGAGAAGGGAGTTGGGGGAAACTGAAGTGAGAGACAAACCGTGAGAGACTATGGACTCTGAAAAACAATCTGAGGGTTTTGGAGGGGTGGGGGGTTGGAGGTTGGGTGAGCCTGGTGGTGGGCATTATAGAAGGCACGTATTGCATGAAACATGGGGTGTGGTTCATAAACAATGAATTCTGGAACACTGAAAAGAAATTTTAAAAATAAATAAAAATTAAAAAATTAAAAAAAGAAACCGAGAAACTTTCCCCTAAAGTCAAATTTCCTTTTAGTTGCCAGATGATAATCCTACCAGGATGAAATGGATAAATTCTGTAGAATCAGAGAAAAAACATATCTTAAGTGATTGCTCAGCTAGTCTACCATTTTACAGATATGGTCTGCAGAAAATCCATTCTTGAATTTCCCTTAATTTCATTTAGTATTTTATTCTGGAAATTAAGAAACATTTCAACAACAACAACAACAACAAAACTTTCTTATGGCTAACCTTGGATCCTTTGAGTAATAAATTAAGGTAATATTCTTTAATTTTTATTTTAGCCAAGATGGAAAAATGGCTAATCAACATCCCCACTGCTAACATTTCATATACATGAACATCATTCTTCATGCAGGCTTTTCTTTAACTAGTGGTAGCTCTCTTATTTTTGGAGATTTGTGTGTTTGGTTAAATATATATAACATAAAATTTACCATTTTAAGTGTACAACTCTATGGCATTACATACATTCACATTGTTGTGGAGCCATTACCACCATCCATCTTTTCATGTTTCCCAACTGAAACTGTACCCATTAAACTATAACTTCTTATTTCCCCCTTCCCCAGCCCATGGCAACCACCATTCTACTTTCTGTATCTATGAATCACACCACTCTAAGTCCATGATATAAGTGAAATCATACAATATCTGTCCTTTTATATCTAACTTTTTTCACTCAGGAAAATGTCTGCAAGCTTCATCCATCTTTTAGCATGAGTCAAAATTTCTTTCCTTTTCAAGGCTGAATCATACTCCATTGTATGTATACACTACGTGTTACTTATCCATTCATTCACTGGTGGACACCTAGCTTGATTTTCCTTTAAGGCTTACTGTGAATAACGTTGCTATAAACATTGATATGAAAGTATCAGAGCTCTTGCTTTCAATTCTTTTAAGTATATACCCAGAAGTGGAATCACTGAGTTACATAGTATTTCTGTGTTTAATTTTTTTTGAAGAACTGACAGGCCATTTTCTATAGACACTGTTTTTACTTTATTTTTTCAGTGTTCCAAGATTAATTGTTTATGCACCACACCCAGTGCTCCATGCAATACATGTCCTCCTTAATACCCATCACCAGGCTTACCTAACCCCCCACTAACAGCTTTTTAAAAAACTATAACTATTCTTTTCTAGTATTAACCTAGATTTTTACTAAATCACTTATTTCCCCAAATTTTCAATGTCCCTCCTAAAATGTGATACCCCAAACCAGAAATCATACTTGAGCCTGTCTTGACTTGTAGATGAGACATGATTTCTCCATTCCTATCTGCTGTCTTCCTTTATTTTATTTTTTTCTGCAATATAGTCATTTTTTTCAATTTTTAAAATTTAGTTTATTTAAACCAAAAACAAAAAAATTCACCTTTTAAACACACACAGGTTTCATCCTTGTTTTTAGAAGTACTGGACTGTAATTTGTTGTGTTTTGAAATAAAACCTTTCTCATCCTCCACCTATACTTCATATTCAAACTCACCTTTATGCCAGGCAATAGTGCTTTCACCTACATACCTCAAATGAAAATCGGAGCACAAATAATTAGCTCAGGGTTTATAAACACCCTTCATACATTTATGTGTATGGACCAGTATACACATCTGTCTGTCTATTTTAAATATTCCTTTTCTCCAAAATACTACTGAGTACTTGCATGTTAATTTTCACATCATGTACAATAAAAACTATAATTGGTGCTGTAATATGGTTAAATGCTTCTTTACTGAAAAAAAAAAAAGTGATTCTGATATCCAAAATCCAGCTTATTTTGACTAAGGCTGATGATGTGAAGTGAAAATCGTTGCCTAGTGTTCAGGAGTCTGATATCTATTTCCAGGCAGAAGTTAAGCTCTAAATCTCATAAATGCCTATAATCAAAATGCTGGGGAAAAGTTACCATTCTTAAGTGTTACCTTGCTTGCTTTGAATTGCACCTCTACTGTCTTTAAAGTTTAGCATCTGGCCCCACAATCATTATTCAGGAAAATTGGCTAATATTACTTTCTTCTTAAATGTGACTAAATTTAATATTCAACCCCTGTGTGGAGGTAAGGCTGTTTCTCTTATTTTAGTGGAGAATCCTTTGTAGTGGTCATCCTCTATTAAGGGTCATGAATCTTAAAACAGGATAGTCTTCTGTTAAAAACTAAATATTTGGTGGCCTTCATGTTGTCTATAAACTCTTTAATGCAAAATTTAAATAAACTAAAGATTAAAATGCATTTTTGTTATATCTTAATTTTATCTTTTCACAGTTAATAAATTTGAAGTAAACTGTCTTATAAATCTTTTTTATAATTTGGTGGGAGAAGTAACAGAGCGGCAAGGTACCACCATTGGGCTAGATCGTAATGCATTTCGAAACATCCTGCACGTGACATTTGGAATGACAGATGACATGATTATGGACAGAGGTAAGAAGACATGCAATATTCAAATGTGTCAGATCCACCACAACTGGGAAAAAAATAGGAGTTTGGACAGTCTTGGTAGGAAACTTAATGTTCTGAATTCCCAATTTCACTTGAATATAAAAAATTAATTGGTGTATTCAGAGGGAAGAGTCATAGGGAAGTGATTCTATGTACTCTATTCTGTGTATTTAAGAAAAGAACAAAGCCAAGCTTGAATAATTAGTTTTTCCTTACTTTATATCCATAAACCTAAAATATTTCTATTTCTACTTAGTAAATATAATAATGAAAAGAACAATTTTAAAAGAACATAAATGTCCTTATATCATCAAAACTATTTCAATAAAAATTAAGTTATAACTTTATCAATTGTATAGTAGCATTTCTTTTCTTGAGTAAGAAAAATATAAAATCACATATTTTATGTGAACATATCAATACATTTAGTATATCAATATATTCATATATTAATAATTATTGATTAGTGTATTTAGATACTCAGAATTTACTTTGTTTCCATAAAATATGAAAGGAATATGTGAAAGTTTAAATAAAAGAGTTTTCCAGTGTTATATCTTAGTTTCTTCTTTGTCAAATGAGCATGTCAGACCATCTGATCCTGAAGTTTTGTCCACATTTTAAAAGTGGGTAGCACCAGTGTAAATATACTACTGAGAACAAAAATGCTGCACAGGTATTATGTTGTACTTCTTTCTTAGTATTCCGAGGTTTTGATAAGGACAACGATGGCTGTGTAAACGTATCAGAGTGGATTTATGGATTATCAGTATTTCTTCGAGGAACTTTGGAAGAAAAAATGAAATGTAAGATTTCAGGTTACCCTATTGCTTTGTACATTAGGATTAACATATCTAAAGAGTGTACATCCATATCTTCCTAGCCAGCCAGTAAAATAGGTTTGTCTTTCAGTTGGTTGGCTCGAATCTCCATTAGCCTCTTTTATGGAGCAAATTCAAGTCAATGATAAAGATTGAAAAAAATTAATACCAAGGAAAATCAAAAGATTCTGAGGAGTAATTCATGCCAAGTAAGACTGCATAAGCAATACTATACATGCTAACTATGTACATATGGATTTATGTATTAATGTACATAAGGTAAATATTGTTACCTGAATTATTAACCATGGAAGTAGAGAACATTGATTAGAGTGTTCTGATTCTTATTTAATTCTTAATTCATTCTGATGAACTCTGTTTAAGGATCATATTTCAGTCAGTTTTCCAAGAATTTCAAGATGAAATGGTCAAATCATTGTTCCTTAGCATGGTTACTCTTAGCTGAGTGAGTGTAAGGAGCCATTTTCTAAGGGTTGTTGACCATATTCAGCTAGTGTACATTAAGCATTTTCTATGGAAATCAGATTGCACTTAGTCCTGCAATGTTGACATGAATATTCCCAATACAGACCTTGGCCTTGAACATTTTGTCAGAGCAAATATTCCCTTAATCATAGTATCAAATTCATAATTGGTTATTTTTTTAAAAGATTGCTTTGAGGTGTTTGATTTGAATGGTGATGGATTCATTTCAAAGGAGGAAATGTTCCATATGTTGAAGAACAGCCTACTCAAACAGCCATCTGAAGAAGACCCTGATGAAGGAATTAAAGATTTGGTTGAAATAACACTTAAAAAAATGGTAAGTATGGGAAATTTAGGGTTTTATATTGAAACTTACAGGCCAGAATGGGACAGAAATAAGAATTCAAATTGTAATAACTATCAGTTTCCTGCTTGGTGAAATAAAACACTTATCTTGTGCTTTTTAATTGTAATGATAAAAGTTCTTTTCAATTTCATTATTTAGTCTCTCATTTTTCCAACACCTTTCTTCTATCAATACTTGACCATGAAAAGACAGTTTGTGTTTGCGATAAGTATTATACATGTTGACTGATACATGGCCGGTCATCCCCTAGGACCATGACCATGATGGGAAGCTGTCTTTCACAGACTATGAACAGGCTGTAAGAGAAGAGACCCTTCTACTAGAAGCTTTTGGACCATGTCTTCCTGATCCAAAGGTAATGATATTACTTTCACTGAACAGTGACCAATATATAATGTAGGATCAATAACCCAGAACTTCTTGGTTTGGTGAGTGAAGGATCAGATGAATTACATTCACCCACAGAGAATAGTTTCTAAGTAGAGAAAGCCAATCAAAGAAGAACATGCTGGTTCATTTCATAATACTGCTGTAGCCTAATGGTATTTTTTTCCCATTCATTAACTCATTCATTCATGTAAGAAACAATTATTAAAGCATAATGTATTCCAGAAACACAGATGAAAGGTTTCATGTCTGCATTCAAGGACTAATATTTTCTTAGGAAAAACCAATGTGAAAATAATTACACAACAGTGTGATAAGTATTACTATAATAACAATGACTTGTTCAGTGCTTCATCTATGTCAGGCAATGTCTTAAGCGCTGCCCCATATTAACTTCCTTAAATCCCCCTAACAATCCTATGAAGGATGTAGTATTATTCATCTTCATTTTATAGATGAGAAAACTGAGGCTCAGAGAGTTTAGGCAAGTCGTCCAAGTTCAGTCACCAATTATGGAGTATCCTGCATGCCCTGGTGCTCAAGTTCATAAAGATATGTGTAGTAGAGGGTTGCAGTAGTCGAGGGCATCTAATCCAGCTGTATGGAATCACTGGTGAATGGGTGATGAGACAAGGAAGGCTTACCTGGGTTGTTAGGCCAGAATAGCTAGCCAGGTCAAAATAGAGAAGAGCAACCTAAGCAAAGTAATGGCATATGCATGAGGGTGGGGAAGGGAAAGAGAAACAAATACTATATTAGAAGAGCACTCAGTGTGGTATGAGATTGATTTTGAGGCTGGATGTGCATAGAAGAGCCAAGGCCAGTGGAGCTTGGAGCCTGGATTTTGTCTTGAAACTCATGAGAATTAATTGGAAGATTTTAAGTTGGTGGAGTGATGTGATATATAAATATTACCATTATCTACCTTCCCAATCTCCAGCTGCCTACTCAACATGCCAGTAGATAATCTCAGTAAACTCTTGGTTTTCACCTAAAAATCATTCCCCACCATCTTCCCTGCCTCAATAAATGACACTCCTGTATGCTCAATTTTAGTCAGAAACCTGTCACCCTTAATTTCCCTCTTAGAGCACTACTACTTCAGCCACTACTTCAAAATATATCCCTGAATATAACCTCTTTTCCACACATCTGTGATTGCCAACCTAAATCAAGCTGCTACCCAGTCACCCAGCCTAGATCATTAGCTTTGTTGCTTCTACTGTTGTCACCTTCTGGCTAATCCCAACAACATCCAGTATATTTGGAAACACAGAAGCTGCCATGCACCTCCCTTGCCTAAAACCCCTAGTGTGTCTGAAGTCTATTCAGTGAGTCTCCTTTTCTCTCTCCAACCATGGTCTCCTGCTACCTTCCCAATGGAGGGGTCGTGCCCCAGAACCATTCCAGCCACCTTGCTGTTCTCCCTAGGTGCCTTTGCAACTAAAGTAGCCTCTGTCTAAGCATCCTGTCCCCTGACCTTCACGTCCCTCAGACCCTCACTCCATTCAGTCTCCACACAGATGCCATCCACTGTCTTAATGACTCCTCTCCCTCCATTCCTCACCACTGCCCCTTTCTTCTTCATAGTTCTTATCATTATATAGAATATATTTACTCATTTACTTATTGTCTGTCTTAACACATGGATGGTAAAGAATGAAAAGGAAAAGGAAAGAAGGAAAGAAAGAAGAGAAATTACCTTAATCCCTCACCTACTTCTATTTCCTGTCCAATGGCTTTCTTTTTCACAGTCAAATGTCATGGGAGAATTGTCTATATTTATGACCTACACTACCGTGGCTTCTTTAGCATACTCCTGAAACAGCTCTTGCTGAGGTCACCACACCCTACTTGTTAATAAATCCCAAGTGAAGTCTTCTCATCTTGCTGTACTACATCCTTTCCCCACCCCAGCTCTTAGTGCAGCTTCTTGGCTCCAGGAAGAACCTCCACTCCAGCAATAGCCTGGCTGTGACATCACGTGGCCTCCTGGACTCCAGAGCCCTGGTGTGCTTACCCTGTTACACCCTTTCTTCAGTGAATTAAGCTCAGTTTCTGGTCATCCATCCACTAGGCTGGAGGCTCCTAGAGAGCTGTGTCATGTGCCTTACTCATCTTTGTGGCCCCAGACCAAGTGTCATGTTGGAACATAGCACTGTACCTGTGAGTGTACAATGCATGAGGTTCTTGGTCCTCACTCTTCTTCAGTTAACTTGTGGATCTTCAAACATAAAGGAAACATACAGAACAATTTGTTTTTCTTACCTTTTTTGGAAGTCTTTACTAATTTGAGCACATTTTTTACAGAGTCATATGGAATTTGAAGCTCAAGTATTCAAAGATCCGAGTGAATTCAATGATATATGAATACCTAAATGTGTTGTCTCAAATGAGTAAAAAAAAAGGTGCATGCATGTTGTTTATTTTTTCCACTTAGCTCAGAAAGATGGTATCGAATTTTGTGCTTGGGGTGGGGAATGGGACTCACCAACACGCATCATTTAACTATGGTGCAAGATGCAAGTGAAATAAATGGAAGACAGGAAGTCCCTTATTAAGTATTGGGTTTGGCAAGACAAGTTCACATTGCCAGATATTTTATCACATAGACCATTTGTTGAAGCTTATAACTACCATAAAACACTTGTATTAATGAAATGAGTAGAGATTACATGATCACGAATTATTGAGGCAAATATTCTTCATGTCAGAAAAATGCTGGCTATACATTTAAAAGTCAGTGAAACTACTGAATTTCCTTTGGAACAGTAAATAATGAAGACAGCATTTTAAAAAGAATAACAGTGACATTTAGCACATAAATAACTGTCTGCTAGGCATTGAGGGACATTCAGAGAGCTGAAAGCAATATATACCTACCTCAATATAATGCATACTATTGTTTGAGATTTTGCCAGAATAATCTGCATAGACAGTAAGCATCTGAGGGCAGGGGGCCCTACACCCATCATTATGTCTGTCACAGCAGTTAGCAGAGTCCTTTGCACAGAATGGGTCCCCATTCTAACACTGTGGATAGAAAAGTACAAAATGCTACCAGATAAATCCAAATTCTTGCTGATCAGAGGAGAAAGAAAGTGCTGTTTTTGTAAATAATGGATTATGTAGCCACAGCTTTCAGTCTATCTTTGGAGTCACTCCAATGCTCTCCACACCATTGCAGTTGCCTTCACAACCCCCTGTCTTCCCCAGCTTCCTGTCTCTCTCCACCTCAGTCCCACCCCTTGTCCCCATCCCCCTGACTGGGTGTACCTCAGTGTCACCCCGACCTCTTGGAATCCCCTCAGGTACCCCTTAACAGGAAACACATCATATCATGTCCCACCAGCAATGAAGTCCTGAAGACAGAACTGCTTCCTCCATTCAGCAGGTGCCTGTAGGCGTTTGATGCAACATGAGAAAGATGGGACCTACTTGGTTTCCTATAGCTACTGTTTACCTCTTTCTTAAATGCATGCAGGCAGCTGAGAGAAGTATTATGCACATAGTCCTCTGTCCATATATAAACATTCAGAGACTATTTGGGACATTAAATCCCTTTTGTTACTATATATGTGTCAAGTTTAAGCAAAAGTACACCTTGTATTAAAAAAAAACAGATTGTGACAAAAAAATCTAATAAATGATTCCATGAAATAAAAAGTGTTTTACTGTCTAAGTATTTTCTTAAAATTTTAGATTCTTAGGTAGATATGTAGATGGAGTTTGACACAATTTTTCTACCTTGAGTAAGTATAAATAGTGAAACACAATGCTTTTAATTTTTAAAATTTATATTTTTCTGATTACAAAGTAACAGAAGTTCACTGAAGACTCAAAAGTTTAGGAAATTAAAAACTAAAATATAAATATCCGTCAATATTCTGGTATAGATCCTTTCAGGCTTTCTTAAGGCATTTGTAAGTATAGCTGTATTTTTTCACAGAGTATACCTAAGCTGCTTTTTTTATGGACCACTATCTCATGGCACTTTCTCAGATTAATTAGTATCTGTCTGCTGCCTGACTTGTAATGGCTACCTGGCCTTCCATAACAACAGACCTTATTAAAGCACTTCCCTGTCATTGAAATTTCAGTTGCTCCCACATTTTTTTTACAAATAATTCCCAAGTGAACGGTCCTTGTAGATAAATCTTCTCATGTTCGTTATTGCTTGCTTAATCAGGACAAGTTTTTAAAAGTGAAAGTTCGGTTAGAGGTCCAGCTTTGAGGTGTCTAGCGCCTGTTGCCAGATTACCCTCCAAGAAGGTGTGATGTGCCTGGTGCATGAGGTGCTGATTCCCCCTTCCCTGTGGTGCACATTCTTTTCACCTCTTTGCTGATGTTGTGGACCATAATTGACCATAGTTTTAATTTATCATTTAAAAAACTAATCTTATACATCCGTACCTAAACTTTTTATTGTAGATTGTGTAAAAATTGACTTACATGTGAATAACCCTATTTTATTACTTGATATTATTTAAAACTAAAAAGCCTTTTTAGAAAAGTCTAAATAATTTTAGTGAAACTTAAGATGGTATCGGTACAGACTCATTAGCTCTGTTGGAGAACTTCCCCGTACATTACAGAACACACCCCCTCTGCTGTTTCTCATCGTATCTGCCCAAATCATTTCCTTCTGTGACTATATCTGGATTTCCGGTTTCTCTTAATTTTACTACGGTAGCAACTCATAAATGATTTTAACACTGAAAATTCTTTCAACTTAATAGTAGGGTCATCCAAGTACACAGAGAACCTTTGAGGGAAAACCCCCTTTCCTCTCATTCTGAGCTCCATGGCCAGCTTTGGGCCTTGCCTGCCTGCTGCTAGCCTGCCCTGACTCCAGCCCTCAGGTACAGCCAGCTTTGCTCAGCCCCATCTTTGCCTACCTCTGGGTGGCTGGGTTAGGACTACGATAAGCAGTTATAATTTGGAAGGGTGACTATAGCCTTCCTCTCAACTGGGTCCTCAAAGCTTTGGCTTCCCCTTCTCCCTGTGCCTTGGGAGGACCAGCAGAAAGCCAACCAGGACCCTCTGAGAGATGTACACATTGCTTTGCTCACAGCATGGAGGGTGTCTATCTGGGAAACAAGTACATTTTTAAAACAACAGGATTTAAAAACTACCACTGAAAACTGGTAGTCCTACATTCTTAACCTGCAAATATCTTTGTGTACAAGATTACACTTGTTAAGAAGCCAAGCCTGCAATTGCTTGCATCATAAAGTCATCCAAAACATTCACCAAGTTCCCACTTTGTGCTAAACCATGGGGGTGAATATAGTCTAAGTCAGTTGCCCTGCTCTCACCTCACTTGTGTTGTAAAATGAGGACTCTATACCATGTGATGGCAGTGTCATCACCTTTACTATTTGGATGCAATTGCAATCTGTCTCCTGCCCTTCTCAACCCTCCCCCCAAAAAGTTATATCATTTTTAATTAAAAGAGATTGTTAAAGGTAATTAAAATCAAATATACTTTGAAACCATGGAGATAGCCATATCTGGGAAAGGCTGCTTTTCCACCCCTTGGATTGCGCATTTTCACTGACTACATTTTATCTGTGTTCATTTCCTCACAGAATCATCCCCAGCTCTTCTACAGTCATCTAGAGCTGATGGTAATTCTCATGTACTGTGGCCAAGAAAGGGTGGCAATTGCATTTGACAAGGAAAGATTATTATAAACTACCTATAATAAAATAGAAGCTTAAACTATGCATATATTAATTACAATTTGGCAAATCTTGAGGATTATGTAAATCTGGTAATATTTCAAAAACAGGGAGAAGTGATGTATTTATCTTTTCTGATTCGGTGACTATGTTCTCTGTTAGAATGAAGTAGATGATCTTCTCAAATGTTTTCCAGTCTCAGTTACCATTGAAGGAGGAGCCAACCTAAATACATACCAAGCAAATCAAAGTCCTCTTCTCATGAGGTCTCTCAAGGAAACTTGCCCAGTTTTTAAGGGAAGCGAAAAAGGAAGGAAGTCTTAACAGTGAACTATCCTGCATGAAACAAAGAATTCTTTGGCATTTGAAATGTCTTTATCAGAGTGCCATTAACCTGAGCAATGGTTAACTGTTCACAGTTCCATCAGTTGGTAATTTGTGGCTTTCTGTGTACCTCCTGCCTCCTACCTAATCCATCAAGAAAATATTCCTCCCCCTAAGACACACATCCTCTTGTTTATTTTCACCTCCCTCCTGCCTGTTAAACTCTACACTGCCCCTATTATGTGGCCCCAGCCAGACTCACAGACAGTTCCCTGGGTGAGAAGCTTGTCAACTTAAAGGCATTTGAATAAATTGGGTGAAATACAGGCTGTCCTTCGTTTAACCTGAGGTGCACCTTCCTGTCTCCTGTCCCCATCTCCAAAGTCAGCCCAGAGCTGGGCAACAGTGAGCCTGAAGATGGAGAATTGCACAGAAGGAAGCAGAGGAATTTACAAGTTCTCCTGCAAGAGACATTTAGAGCTTGTGTCACTACCTCCTGGTAGGAGTGATTAACTCCAAAGCCCAGGGAAGTCCAGGAGAGTAATTAAAACCATTTGGCCAAGTCCTCCTTAATGACTCCTTCAGAAATACAAGAGAGTCAGAAAGTGGAATAAAATGACCCCAAAATCTCAATAATACATTATACAACAATCCAGAGAGCACTTTTGTTCCAGGTATTATGCTAAGTACTTTATATTTATTATCTTACTCATTTCTCACAACTACCCTAAGAGGTAAACATAAACATTACTTACTGTCTTTATCCTACATATTGAGAAAATTGGTGTTTAAGAAAATCAAGAAACTCCTTCAACATCCTAACCTGGTCAAGAACAAAGCCAAGATTCAGACCTCAACGAGTTCTAACATTGAACATGTTTCTCTAAAGCAATATGTATTCTTCTTGCCATACATACTCCTGATGTTTGAAATTACTGAGCACCCTACTTCCTGAATAATCTTCAAATTGCCCCTTCAAGGCACCCTAGAGGTGCGAGGTACCTGGCATGCTAGTGAGTGAGACTGTTGACAACTCTCTTCAAGGGCACTGTTCTCATCTTTCCTTCTTTAGCTGAAGTTTACAATTTGGATGTAAACCTGCCTACATTTGGAACCAATAGAAATCTAAACATTGTATTGGAACTGTGCCTTGTCAAGAGTCCACCTGTGGTAAATGTGATTCATGAATGGTGGCCAAGCTGTTAGACTCTGTGGCTCCATGGTCAGCACATGGTTAGAAGTAAGATGAGTGTCAACCAACCAACTGTTTTCTCCAATGAAAGGAGAAAACAGAGGCTGAAACCATTGCTGGTTTGTGAGGAGGACAGAAGTCCTTCCGAAAGGAGAGGAAATGGCTGAATTCCTCAAATGGAGAATGTTTCTTGGGCCATCTTGGGTAGTACCAAAGAAAGATGTCTATCTGAAGAAGATGCCAATGATGAGAGGACATAATTTAGTGGCAAACATTAGCAATGATGATATGGCCTTTCCTGGGTGCCAGTAACTGGTCCAAGGATGCTAATCGAGGTGGAAATGAATTTGTAGCCCAGCCAAGACCCTGTTCTAGCTCCAATGCCCTCTCATTGTCACAAGGTATCACATGGCCTTGCACGGGTCACACAAACTTAAAAAGTCGGATAGAAGTGAAAAATGGTGGATATTTTGGTGTGGACATTGTATTTGTCATCCAAACTGAAGATACTGAGAGAGAAAGGAAATGCTAATAGTTATACTGGGACAAAGTAACCCCAAGTAAATTGGGATATACAGCCACTCATGGATAAGCTATATACTACTCAAATTACATTTGATGTAAAATGAGAATAATACCTACTCTCTGTACCTCAAACACACAGGGTTTTTTAAGAATTGAATGTGATAATATCTATGACATCATTTTGCGACCTGTGAAGTACAATACAAATACATATATTGACACAGGTATGTACTATACAGTGGAATCCATGCTCTGTTTTGGAGCATGCTTGTGTTCTCAGCAAGAGCTCATATATAATGAAGCAATAAGAAGAACAACAACCTAGAAATGAGATACATTTGACTAAATGTGTGACATTGCTTAAGCTATTTATCCAGTAAAAGAAATCCGAAGGGTAGCTCTAAAAATATCTTTAGTAATCTAGTGTATTTACAGACATGAATCTCATGAAATGTGGATAAAACTTCAATATAAACAACACTAGAATTTTCATGATTGGAGTTAGTGAAATTATGTCTCCTATTAACACACATACACACACACATACACATACATCTCTCTCATAACAAACTCACAGATGTACACACAGTGGTTTATTACATTTAACAGACACATTAGAGTATCCTGAAGTTCTCTCTCACCCTGTCAAGATACCACTAATTCTAAAGCAATCAGTACCATGCTGTTAATGACTATAATCCTGATTAACTACAATCAAGATGATGTGTTTGCTATGCTGGCTCTAAGGTACTGAAATATTAAAGAGAAATGAATAAGATGCATGGTTTGTATGAAAGCTTAGAAGTCAGAAATACACTGAATAAACATGAACTTACATCCAAGTTATGTGAGCCTCAACTAGCCAAGACACCTTGGTCTACTTGCT